TAAAATGTTTTCGTGCTGATATTCCAGATCTTTGTATTTAGAAAAGAGAACATCTCTGTCATTCTGAAGAGATGACATTGATTTTCTTAAGGCATCAATTTCATTGGCAATTTCATTCTTATCTTGAGCAGTTTTATCAGCTTTCAGCTGCAGATTTTTCAATTCATTTTCCATCTTCTGACAGGCTTCTTCAGATTGCTGTGCTTTTATTTGCAAAGAATTTAACTGCTGCTCATATTCATTGATTTGTTTTCTATGTTGAGTCTGTATTTGTGTGAGATATGCAGAAATCTCCCCATCCTTAGATGATACCAGTAGAGATATTTCTGTATCTTTGTTGTTCAGCCTTATCTTCATTTGTTGAGAAATGGCAATCTGTTTTTCCAGCTCAGCTTGGATCTTTTCTTTTTCCAACAGAATTTGTTGCAACTCCTGTTCTTTTCTAGCAAAACTATTTTCCAACACTTTTATTTGTCTTCCTGCATCTCTACTATTCTCTAGAAGATGGTTAAGAGAATTATTTTCTTTAAGCAATGCATGTAAAGCTGCTTCTTTTGACTGAAGAACGGTATCCAATTTTTGCTGTTGGTTGAGAAGAATCTCATTTTCTTTTTTTATTCTGCACAGTTCATTGTAATTTTGGGGATCTAAAGATTTCTGCCTTGAGTACACTTCATTCTTTGATTCTTCTAACACAGAGAACGTAGTCTTCAGTTCCTGAATCGGATCCATTTTCTCCTTTGTATCACTTTGTAAAGACTCTATTTCTGGGTAACTCTCTACTACCTGTTTCTCTTTATTTTGAATTATCTCTTTCAACTGTTTTTCCAAGGTTTTTATTTCACTGATCACCTGGCCCCAGTCATTTGGAAGAGAAGCTGTGCAATTTACAAAAGCGGATAATTTGGCTATAGTTGCATTGAAACCTGCTTGAACCTTTCTAAACAAGAAGTCTGTAACATAGACTTTCTTTTGCAAACGATGAAATTCGCCATCTACCTTGTCTTTCTCTCGCTGAAGTGCATTGTATTTTTCTTCAAGGTTCAACCACTCTCTCTTGTGCACTGTCTTTAGCTGCTGAAGACTAAGCTCTAATTCTTTCTCATATTCTTGCCTCTGATTTTGTAGTTGATCTTCCTTCTTCTGAACTTCTCTTTTCCAAATTAAATTCTCAGCTGAAACCCTGTCCAAGTCACTCTTTGACTGATCTAACAAATTTTTCTGGGAAGAAAGCTCATCATTTAGATGGTATATTTGTTCATTTAATTTGGCACGCTCTTCTGTTGCATTATTTAAATCTTTCTCAAATTCGTCATTCTTTGACTGTGATAGTTTCACAGATCGCTCCAAGTCTAGAATCAGTTCTTGGAATTTAATAGAATCTTTTTGTAACTGGTTGATCTCTTGCTGTTTTTCCTTCAAGAGTTCTTGCAATTCTCTCGTTTTGGTTTTTGCCCCATCATTGCCTCTCTGAGCACATTTCACCTTCTCCTCAAATACTTTTGCAATATTCAACTGCTGTTCTTCTTGCTCTCTAATGAGGCTGCAGTTCTTTGCCTTTAATTCTTCCAACTGTTGGAGCAGGAAGGTATTCTGTACCTGTGCAGATTTCAGTCTGTCTGTCAGTTGATCCACTTTCTTGGTATGGTTGAGTAATTCTGTCTCCAGAAATTCTCGCTCATTTTTAACTCTGGAAGACGTTTCTTGTACATTTTCAAGTTCTTCCTGTAAGAGGCACTTGTCATCTTCTAAAATTTTAACTCTTTCATTCAAGATAACAATTTCTTGTTTAAGATTTCCACATGCATTTTCCAGCTTTGATAGAGACCTATTTTTCTGCTCCAAAGATTCTTCAGTTTCTTTTACTTTTTCTGAAAGCAAACTTCTTTCTTGCGCTAAGGCAAGCATATTTAGTTCTTTCCCTGAAATGTCATCATTTAACAAACTTACTTGCCTTAATAATGATTCTCTCTCACGTAATGCATCAGTAATTTTAGACTGCATATCAGCCTCATTCAATTCCATTTGCACTTGAAGGTCTGATTTAGTTGCACTGATTTCATTATGAGGTACTTCATTTTCATACTGAATTTTTTCTAAAGCCTGCTTCAGGTTCTCAGAAGTTTGTTTCATCTGCTCATTTTCCTCCACTAGCTGTCTGTTCTGGAGAATGAATTCATGAAGACGCTGCTGAAGTTCTTCCATCCTTGCCTCATGTTCAAATGTCTGCCTTTCTAATTTACTCTGTAATTCATCAATTGCACTTTGTTTAGATTTAGCAAGCTGCTGCAATTTATTCTTTATAGCTTCAGTTTCATCAACAGCTTCATAAAGTTGCTTCTCCAATTCCTGTTTTTCACGTTCTCTCTCAGCAAATCTCTGAATAGCTTCTTGCTTTTCTTTTCTAGTGAGATCAATAATTTGCCTCATTTCTGCTATTTTACTACTTATATTCTCATAGGCCTGCAGAAGTGACTCATAATCTTGTTTTAATTCACTGTGTTTAGCTTTCCATCCTGTTAATTCAACTGTCTGAGAATCTTTCAAAGTATTTAGTTGGAAGGAAAAAGCTTCCTTTTCCTGAACTATAGTCTCCATAGTAGATTTAAGACTTTCACATGCAGCAGTTAAGTTTTCATTTTCAGTTAATAATCTAGCATTTTCAGAAGCAAGGCTTTCTTCTGTACTCAGTGAAGAACTAGCATCTGAGTTTTGTTTTTCTTTGCCAAGCTCAGACAACAAGCATTCAAGGGTACGTGACTTATTGGTCAATTCTTCTTTTTCCAGCATCAGTTCATCAATCCGACCTTTTAAACACTTATTTTCTTTCAGAGCTTCCTTACGTGATATTAAAGCTGCTTGTAGCTTCCTGTGGAGATGTTCTCTGGATTGTTCCTGTGCAACAGTCTTTTGCTTTTGCAAGGCAAAATCAACCACAGTTATATTTTTCCCTGCCTGTTCCTGACTCATTTTGGTTAGTTTCTGAATTTCACAATTTCTTTCTTCTACTATCTTTGCTCTTCTGGAATAATCCTTCTGTAGTGACTGAACACAGATGTCTTTGCCTTGGAGCCCTGGCTGAAGCACATCAGTTTCTGAGTGTGCCAGCACCAGTTCATCATCACTATAATTTTCTTTATCTTTCTTGCATGATACCATATTCCTTTCTTCAGGGGCTGGTACAGACTTCTCATGTAGTATATCTAACTCCATCATAAGTTTTTTGTTTTCTTCACTGAAATGTTTTAGCTCCATTTTCATATCAACTAGTTCTGCATTGGCCTTCCCTAAATTACTGATAAGCTCTTCTCTCTCTCTTTCTATTGCTTCAAATTCCTTTTTAAAATATTGAGATTCTTCCTGGTTTTCTTGCCACCTGAGCTGTAACTGTACAGTTTCTTTTAGCTTTCCTTTTTCTTGATCAAACTTATCTTTGAAATCCATCAGAATACAAATCAGCTCCTTAATTCCCTTATTCTTTTCTACAAATAGTTTGTTTGCTTGTTGGAGGTTAATCTTCAGTTCTTCAATTTCCTCCTTGCTTGCCTTGTAATCTTCACCCCTTTTAAGGAGAGCTTCCTTTTCTTTATCCCTACATTCAACTGTAGTCTTAATGTGTAGAGCCTCTGTATCATAAGCGTCCAACTTTTTCTGCAGTTGATTTATTTCATCCAACATGCAGCCTTTGTGATGTTTATCAGGCTGTTCCATTTGACTCACCGAGTCCTGCAGGTTTATCATCTCTTCTATTTTGTCATCAAGTTCAAATGATGTCTTTCTTATCTCATCCTTTAACATTTTTGTTTCTTCTTGAAGTTTTACCTGGTTATCAATTAGTTTTTCCAACTCAGTCTCTTCCCTTGTCATTCCAACTGTCTGCTGTGACTCCTCTAACACAGCCTGAGCCTTATTTTTAGGTTCATCTGATTCCAACCCATTTGGATCAGTAGTTTCCTTTTCTTGAAGTGCTGCCACATGAATCTCCAACTCTTTCTCTGGAGAGCATACTAGCAACTGATTACAGTCAAATTCTTCCCCCTTTCTTTGATGAACTTGTTGAAGTGTTTTGTGCTCCTTCCTGAGGAGTTCAAGGTCATTACTTTGTTCACTCAAATCAGTGCCAAGTTTAAGGTGCTCTTCCTTTTCTTTCTGAAATTTCTTAACATCCTCTTCCCTGGCCAAAAGTGATGCCTGAAGTTTCTTGCGTAGGATCTCTCTCTCTCTTTCTAATTGACTTAGTTGATTAACTTCACTATTAAGGCCCAGAGAATTCTTAGCGACTCCAGCATTTAAACAAGGTTCTACCAAATTGATATTATTCAATAATTCATCCTTCTTTAAAATTTCAGCCTTGAGATTTTCAAGAGTCAAGAGAAATTGACAACATTCTTCTCCATATGCTTTTTCTTTCTCATTAAGCACAGACTGCATGTGAGCTAGCAGAGTGTCTTTGTCCTCCAGAGACTTCAGATTTTGCTCAGATTCTTTTTCTTTTACAGCAATGTCATCTTTCAACTTTGCAACATAGTTTTGAAGGTGCTCTAAATTAGACACTTCGGCAGAAAGTGTCTCACTCATTTTATTTATTTTGGCATCTTTCTCTAAAAGCTGTTGCTTCAGAGTTTCAAGATGGGATTCCAGATCTCTATTTTGCATCTGAACAAGTTTCATCTGCTGTGTTAACGCATCAATCCTCTTCAACAATTCCTCTGTTTTTTTATGTTCTTTTTCTATTTCCTCCTGTGTATTGTTTTCAATATTTGCAATTTTTTGCATTAGGTCTTTTCTTACCAACAATGCTGCTTGAAGTTTCTTTTTCAAGTTCTCTTTCTCCTTACCCAGTTTCTCAAGACTAAACTGCATCTGTTCTTTTTCATTCATTAAATCTTTAAATGCAGCTTCTTTGTGACTTAATATAACCTGATTACGTTCCACTTCTTTTTTATAATTCTCAAGTTGCTGGGACACTTGATTTAGCTCTTGTATAGAACTATTTTGAACAGATTCAAGTTGCTGCAGTTTACCATTTAATAAATTTCTTTCTTCAGAAAACTTCATCATTTCATTAGACAAGGATTCCATGACCTGAGTAATGGAACAATCCTTCTCTTTCAGCTGCTGACTTAGCGCAGAAATTAAATCCTTCTGTTGCTTTGTCTGAGAAGTTAAGTTTTCTATGAGGTGATCTTTTTTCTCCATTTCTGCTAAGAGACTCACTATTTTTTTACGGTCAGCGCTCAAATTCTCAGAACTGGTTTTGAGCTCTTCTTTGGACTTATCTATCTGGTTCTGAAGAAAATTAATCTGTTTGTTCAACTCTGCAAATGATTCTTCTCTTCCTTCCAAAAGAGACTGTTGTTTTTGAGCTGTCTCTTTGACAGCAACCAATTCCTGAGACAAACGTTCAATTTCAGATTGATAGGTGCCCTTCACCTTTTCAAGATCATTCTGTAGCAACACCTTTGTTTCCTCTAGTGACTGCATATGTCTTAATTTCTTCTTCAAGATATCTATTTCTTTCTTTTTTTCTAAAAGAGCCAGCTGCAATCCTTCTCCTTCCACTTCTTTGCTCAGAATGGTGGATATCATGCTGGAGAATTTTTCCCATTTAATTTTACTATCAGTTACTTGATAATTAGCATTTGGAGTGTTTGCATCCTGTTCTTTGCAGAAAAGTCTAGTGCTATATAATGCTGATAGGTTTTTGGTTAACTCCTCTTTCATAAGATCCAGCTCTTGTTGTAAAAAGTGGATTTTACCATCTTTTGATTTCATTTCACTCTCTAAACTCCTAACCTTCTCATTAAGAACTGAATTTTGCTGAATTTCCCTATCAAGTTCTGTCACCCATTTGTTTTCAGACTCAAGTACACTTTGTTCTAACTTTCCAACTTTAAGCTTTAATTCAGAGACCTCTTCACCCTTTGAACTAACCTGCATTTGTAACTGCTCTTTTTCAGTCTTCATCTGTAGTTTGACAGCATCTATCTGCATTCTGAAATAATTTTCACTGGCTTCTAATTTTTCATTAATTTCTTGCAGTTTTTCTAATTTTTGTTGTAACAGACTTTGGCATGCAATAAGTTCTCTGTTTTCTACCACCAGTTTTTCTGCATTTACTTGTCTGAGAACTTTCTCCCTCTCTAAAGAAGTTACCTGTTTTTGCAGACTGTCTATTAAAAGCGTATGGTCATGGCAGTCTTGAGAGGATTTGGAATTTATGTTGTTTAGCTCAGATTTTAATAATTCAACATTTTTAGCCTGTTCAGTACAATTCAGTTGCAGATTTTGTAAAGTTAGCTCTTTTTGCTGTGCATCTTGCTTGAAGATATTTATCTGGTCCAGTGCTTTCTGGTGCTCTGTTTTTATAGAGAACAGCTCAACTGTCAAAGAATCAATTTTCTTTTGGTTTATGGCAAAGTTTTCATCTTTCTCCTGCAAAACACTAGCAATGTTTTTTAAGGCTGTATCACTTTTCTCTAGCTTCTCCTGCAGGAGCTTGATCTCCTTAGTAAGAGCACTAATATTGCTTTCTGCCAGCTGGATACTAGCATCTTTTTCATTTAAGGAATTAAGAAGTCCAGTAATATTCTCTTCCTTTTTACTGAGTGTTATGTTAAGTTCCGTTCTTTGTTCACACACTGCTGTAAACTTTTCCTGCAAAGATATGAAAATACTTTCTTTCTCCTGTAGCTGTTGTCTGGACTTTTCTAATTCTTGCATCAGCTCATGCACCTGACTCTGAACCTGAGTAAGCAACTTTAGCTTTCCATCATCTTCGATTGCTTTGTCACTTAGCTTCTTGAGGAGGCTTGCGTTTTCCACAAGAAAAGATTCTTTTTCTGCCAATGACTGGTTAGTATCATTTATGACTCTCTTCTGATCATTTACCTCTGTTTTTAGTTTTAGTTTTGCTTCTTCCAAATCTGTTACCTGTTTCTTTAACACTTCACACTCTTTCTCTTTGTCTTGAAGCTGTATCTTCAGCTTCTCATTGAGTAATGTAGTATTACTGACAATCAATTCCTTCTCTAAAATTATTGCTTTTAATTGTTCTACTTCACAAGTCAAAACCTCCAATTGTTTCTGCTGCTTAAAGGAACTCTCTTTCATTTCAGAAACATATGCTTTCAAATTAACATATTCATCTACTTTTTGCTTTAAAGACTTGTCTTTTTGTACAATTGATTCATTCAGTTCTGCTGATTTTTCTGTCATGGTTTTAAGCTGACACTGTAGATTGGAAAGCACCTCCATATTCTCAGACAGTTGAACTCTAAGCATACCAGACTCTTCAGATTTATCTTTAAACAGCTTTAACTCTTGGGCTTGCCTTCTACATTCATTTTCTTTTTCTTGCATTGCCTGCTTAATCTGACTGGTTTCAGAACTCAAAACTTGCATCTGAATTTGCAAATCAGAAATTATTTGCAAATACCTCCCTTCTGCCACTTTATTTTCCCCCATCTCCTCAATCAAAATCTCCTTTCTCAAAAGGAGAGCTTCCTTCTCTTCTAAACTTATTTTTAATGTTTCTTTCTCAATTATTAGGCTATCAATTTGGTCCTTCAGAGCTAAAATATTATGACCTTGCTGAGATAAATGAGAAGTCAAAGTAGCTATTTCATCTGATTTCTTTATCACGGTTTCATTAGCTATTTCAAGATCTACTTTCAATTTTTCAGTTTCTAAGGTTAGTTCATGTGCTTTGTTCTTTATTGAAACAAGTTCAGATTGGTGTTGTAAGAGCTGAGACTGGAGGATATCACAATCATTTGACTTTCTGCTGCATGCAACGGCAAGGTCTTCCTTCTCATATTTTAATATCTCCACTTGTTTGCCAAATATCTCTAACTGGTTATTTAACTTTGCACTTTCTTCTATTTTCTCAGCAATCTGCCTATGAAAATTTTCAACCTCTACACCTTGATTTTTAATAGTCAAGTCTCTCTCTTCTATCCGCTCACTTAATTTCATATTTTCATCCTTAAGCTTTTGAATTTCATCCTCAAGCCTGGCCATGTCCACATTATTTTCTTCTGCTTGCTTAAGTAAGGAAGCATTCTGAAGGATTTTCTCTTCTAGAGACCTGCTGGTACCTTCAAAATCCAGAGTTATATTTTGAATTTGTTTCTGTAATGATAATATTTTTTCCTCACTGTGGCTGAGTTTCTGGACAAGCATATTGCATTCAGACAACTTGCCATTTAACATTCCCTCTTTTTCCATTTCTCTGTCTTCAGCATTGTTCAGTTGGATGGTAAGCAACTGTATTTGTTCACGCAATTGACTAATTAGTACATTATATTCCTTTGTTTTCTCCAGCACCTGCTCTGTGAGAGAGTTTTCTTTTTGCTCTGCAAATATTGAAAGTTGCTTGCACTTTTTTGTTAATGTCTCTTTAACATCACTTAGCTCTGAAAGAGTTTTCTGGTACTCTATAGTACTAACAGATAACTTGTCCTCCATAGCTGCCATAGCCTGGGTTCTCATCAATAATTCGCACTCCTTTGTATCTAGTAATTTAGACAAACTCTCATTTTCACTTATAAGCTGTTGCTTCTCTTTTTCCATAACTTCTACTGCATTTCTCAAATCTACTTTAGCTTGTATTTGCTCTGCCAAATCTTTTTCCTTCCCCTCAAGATCTGCCTGCAATTGCTTATTAGCTGAAGTAATGCTTAGTGCCTCTATTTCCATCTTATTCATAATTTTTTGTATTTCATTTAGTTGGTTGTTAAGTTCTTTGCTCTGCATATCTTTGGCTTTTAGTTCTTCAATTAATGTAAGCTTAGCCTCTTCATTCTGCTGCTGGGCAACTTGAAGTTGTTGCTCCAATGAAGTAATAATATTTACTTTCTCCTGTAAAGCCTTCCTAAGTGTTTCTTGATGTTCAATATATTCTGTAAGCTGAAAAGATAACTTAGACAGTTCTTCATCTTTTTTTGCAGCCTCCAAAACTAGCTTGTTGTAAACATCTTTAACTGATTTTAACTCATTTTCAAGTGTCTGTTCTTTGTTTTCCTTCTCTTTCAGCAAACTGTTCAATTTTTCCTTTGAAGAGTTTTTTTCCTCAAGCTGGGATTTCAAATATTCAGTTTCTTCCTTGTGTTTTATTTCAGTTTCTTGTAACTTTTCTGATGATTTAGTCATTTGTTCTTTCAGCAAAGTAATCTGCGACTCACACTCCATGAGCTTATTATGGTATGCAATATTGTTGGCCTTGATTTCAGAACGCAGATCCTTAATAATTATGCTGCTCTCACTGACTTGCCTTACTAGTTCCTCATTTTCTTTAGTTTTAGCTCCATTCAGCTCTTTAGCTTTGTCCAGCTCCAATGCCATTGTATTATTCTGCTCAGAAAGTGCAGAAATCTTCATGCTTGTATCTCTTATGTCAACTGTTTGTACTTCTTTCAGTAAGTGAATTTCCCTATTAGCCTTTGACAAGGCTTCTTCCACCTCTCGTAGCTCTGCCTCTTTGCTCTGGATTTGACATTTCAGAATGGTAATCTGTTCAGAATATTCAATCATACTTGAAGAGAGAACAGAAATTTCCTTGTCCTTTTCTACTAGCACTTCTTTCAGGTTATCAATTTCTCTCTCATGTCTCTGTAGGTCATGAATAAGTTGAGATCTCTCCTCCAAATGACTTGTGTTCAGTCTGTCAAGCTCCTCATTTGTCTGGTCAAGATCCTGTTGCATCAATTCTACTGCAGCATCTTGCTTCAAGGTCTAGACATCAAAAAAGCAGTATTACAAAGACAGTTATGCTGAGGGAAGAAACAGCTGTTTGCTTATGAGACCAGTATCTAAAGCTAAATAATCACTTCTCATTTAAATTTGCAACCTGTAAGTTTACAATGTTGCAAAGTCACTATGTAATTAAAGATTATTATATGATAGACTTGGCACATACAAAAAGTTTAAACAAACAGAAGTTTTTTAATATTATGTATACTGCTGAAGAAGCAATCATAATGGATCAAACCAAACTAAGTACAACATTTTCCCCATTTCACATAACTTTAATGAGTTACCTTTTCTTTAAATGTAGCAACTTTTTCTGTTAGATCATTGATAGCGATCTTCTGTTCAGTACACTCCACTTCATATGTACTGCATTTTTTTAAGGCTTCATCAAGCTTAAAACAGAAAAAATAATATTACTGATGTATGAAGTTACACAAAAAATATAATGCCAATATATTGTTATATCACTGTAATTTATAAACTTAGATTGGCATTGAATCCATAGTACGTGTGGATTCACACTAACCACTGAAATCTAGTCATTACTGGTAAAATATAATGACTATATAATAATTCCACGCAGAGGTTTGGCACAAGAAGTGAAGATTCACACATTCAATTGAAAGGTAAAATGCTTCAAAGAGAAAATAATATTATTAAATTATGACCAAAAAATTAAGGTTAATGCCCAAAAATCTTACACACCATATAACAGATATAATTGCTAACAGCTCTTTACATCTTCTCCAAGAGATGACAAAACAAAGATTATTCAAAAAGAATTTAAAATAAAATGTGATTAGGTGACTCAGTGATGAGATAACAATGATTAATTAATAAGAAGCCTTTCCTCCTCTAGGGCCGCAATTTTAATTTCACTGAGATTAACAGTGCTTCTAAACCATTATCATTCAATGATTTGTGGATTAGTCGACAAGCCTCAATCCAGCACCTCTTGGATTGATGCCCAAATTACTATTGGTTCCCTTCCTTGGCAGTTTCAGCAGACACACCAAAGACTGAAGAGGTATAGAGACCAAAGAACTCTTCTCTTTAACGTATCCTTCCAAAGAGTTGAGTACATTGAAATCATGGTCAAGGAAGCTTGCTACACAGATTTTGGTGACATAGCAAATATGGGTAAGAAGATTTTATTTGCCAGTATTGTACTTTTAGTACCTTTTACAAGTACTAACATTTACTTAGAACTGTAAACCATTTAAAACAACCCCAAAACCAAAACACATATGCAACTGTTATCAAACAGAAAAAGGATTATAGCTCCTTTTGCTTATTAATCCTTATTCACTCTTTTCAAGACTACTGTAAAATAATATTACAACATTAGACTGTGAAAGCATTTAAATGACTACTCCCCAAAGATAATTCTGTTTGCTACCGCCTACCTTCAGTTCAATTTGCCCAAACTTCTCACTAAGTTCCTTATTAAGAAGATCTTTGTCTTGAAGTGTCCTCTTCAAAGTTTCAATTTCTTCTACTTTTTCTTTTGTACTCAACAGCTTTTGCTCCTTCTCCACAAGTGAAGTTTCAAGGAAGCTGTTTTTATCACTTAGTCTAGCAAGAAAACAGACAATTAGTAGGGGTGCACCAATAGAGATTTTCTGGGCTGATACCGAAGGCTGATTTTTATCAAGCCATACCAGCCTACACCAATCTGATTGCCAATATGCAACTGGGCAGCTTGAAGAGCAGTGTCCAGCTCTTAAATCTGTTGTGGGGGAGGGGAAGCAGATCAAGGCTCCCCCAGTGAGGGAGGGAGTAGGGCAGGGGCTGCACAGCTGGGCAAGGTGCGGGATGGAGCTGCAAGCAGCTCATCCGGGAGGGCGCAGCTCCCATCGCTGCATGCACTCCAGTAGGGCATGGGTGCGTGTGCCCCCAGATATGCATGCGGAGCAAGGGCAGGCTGCCACTGTGGGCTGGGGCCGGGGGTGATGCTGAACTCTTCCCAGCAGCGGGCTATGCCAAGGCTCTGCTCAGGGTGGCCAGCAGCAGTGCTGGGAGGGGTCTACACCCACCCCAAAATTTGTCGTAGACCCCCTCTCCCAGCGGCACCTGCCGAGTGCAGCCCAGGCCCTACCTCTCCCTGCCAGGAAGAACCTGGCACCACCCTCAGTCCCAATAGCAGCCCACCCTCAGTCTGAAAGCCGATCCAGGGGACACACACCCCCATGCCCTCCCAAGGTGAGTGTAGCAGCAGGAGCCGCCACCCCTTCCTCACACCCCCTGGATGAGCTGCTCGTGGCTCCGTTTCACCTTTCCCCCTCCCCGTGCAGGGGCCCTGATCTGCCCCCCATGCCCCTTCCCTCACAACAGACTTACCAGCTGGACCCAGATGCTCTCCACGCTGCTGGGCTGCTCTCCTGGCCACCTGCATGCTGCGCTACAGCTGCGCGCATGCATGGGGCATTTATTGGAGACATTATCGGCCACATCAGCCAGAAAAAGCTGATTGCCAATGCTGTCAATTTTCCTTATATCGGTGCCAATCCAATACAGGATTGATGCATCAGTGCACCTCTAATATTTAGATTTCTAATACTCATATTTAATTTGAAGGGAAGTACTTGGAAAACACAGTAATTTATTCCCCAGTATCAGTTTTTAAAGCCAATGTACCTGTAATTTCTCGCCACACTCCTGTGAATTCACCGCCTCTACATGTTCCAGAAAAAATCCCTAATCCAAAAAATGATCTGACTACACTACTGCAGTGAAGGTCAAAACTCTTGTTTCCCAGCACATTTAATAGATATTATTCTTTATGGCTAATTGCATGCATCAAGTTTATACTTGCAAAGACAAATATGTAATTGCAGCTGGTCCTGCCTGACTTTAGTAAATTTAAATTTACCCTTTGAGCTGTTCATTCAAATTGGAAATGAGACCTTGATGCTTTTCTGCATCTCGCATTTGCTGGCTGCGTAACTGAGTGAGCTGGGTCTGCAAACGTTCATTTTCATTCTGTAACAAAACCATGATGAACATGATTATAGCTCATAAACATACAGAACAGTGCTATCTTCCAGGTTTCTTCTCCTTTAGGTTTCATATCCTATATGCTGTTCAACTATATTGTTCTAGCCCATTACTACTATAATATAAAATGTAAGTGTGAAATATTTGTTTCAGACAGCAGCAATAACAAAGCTTTGACAGTTTTTCCCTTAGCAAGTCCATTACTACAAGAAACTCAGAGATAATCCAAGGACTGTACAGACAGTGACAGCACCACACACACTTGGACTGTGTGAAAGCAGCTTACTTTTCTTATGAGGGAAATACTGGAGGGCTCATACTTTAAAATGCTTTTCCCATACTGGCTTGGGAATATTAACCGATTCTAATAGGGTTATCTGCTTTTTTTTTTTTTCCTTCTGGTCAAAGCCATCCAACAATATGCAGCGAAAAGTATATGAAAAGAAATATAAAGCAAGCTCCATTGACACAGTGAGTTTCTTTCACAGCATAAATCTGTTATTCTAGCCAGCTTCACTGCAACAATTCACAAAAAAAAAATGCAAAAAATCCAGCAGAAACCAAAAGCAGAACACACAGATCATCATCAATAGCAGGTAGGACAAACAACAATGGCAAATCTGTCACCTCTACGAAAAAAAATTCTAGCATTTTGGAGGAGTCAAAACACACCTGTACAGCCCTGAATGACTGCCCTTCTTCCTCTACATCAAATGTTACCTGTATTGAAAGGCTTTGTTACAAAATCCTCAAACGCAAACTCAAGGTTGTCTGTCCCTTGAAATAACAACTTGACTTAGTAAAGAACAGTACTTGTATACTTTTTTTTTAGTAAGTGTATATCTTTTAGCAGACTGAATACAGAGCCAGACTAAGTTTTAGTGACCAGTCAACCACATGATTTTGCTAATAAAAAACAAAAAATTGTCAAGACAAGCATCTTATAGACCAGGCAACATTTTGAAATAACTCTTTAAAACAAACCCAATGAGAATTTTTAGATGTATTGTTCCAGTTGATGTTTTTCATTCATTTTGTGAGTTTTCTTGGTGCCATCATTATCAGGTAAAATATTTCTTTCTTTCACATCACAAAGAATCAATATAACCACTGCTTACACCACTGACAGAACAACATGTACTGATATTAAACAAAAATTGCTACAAAGTGGGCACATCTACATGTGCCCTTTGATATGTATTAGCCTATTTTAATGCACAACAAAGCATCACAAAAAATCATGTGCTTTTGCTAATGTGCAAAATAGGCTAATGAGCCTTTTTCTAGTACCTCACAATGGAAGTACTAAATTTAATGCTCATTAGCAAAAGTGCTTTAAGGAACATGTAAATGTGCCCACTTTGAGCGTATAAATTTTATTTAAAAAAAAAAGATTTACAGGTGAAAACCTGTTTCACTCAAGTCTATGGGAGTTTCGTTTTTTACTTGAAATGAAGCTACACTTTCACTTTTTGTTTCTAGCTTAACAGTATGTGCCTCTAAACCAGGGGTGGGAAATTATTTGGGCCCATGGGCCACATAAGCAGTTTTGCTAAGCTGTCATGGGCTAAGTCAGCACTCCCCATCCCCCCAATACAACTGTTCACCAAAACTTCCTATGTGGGATCAGGCTACAAGCAGGCAAGGAGCGGTGTCTGGGCATGGCATGGGCGAGTGAGGCCAGGATCATGGGGCAATAACAGTGCAGGGCCTGGGGCAGAGCCACAATCCACTGCCCGCACACCTCTGCAATGGGCACCCGTTCTGCAGGCAGGGGCGTGCAGGGAGCAGATCATGTCTCTGTCCCAGGCCTGGCCCAGCAGTCACGGCCCCAAGATCCCAGCCCCAGATGCAGCTTCCTGCCTGCCCACAGTTGCATCCCCTGCGTGGCTCCTGGCTAGTCTCCAAGGAGACCCTAGGTTCACTGGCCAGTGACAGTGCAGAGCCAGGATCTACCCCCTACATGTCCTTGCCCACAGAACCAGGGGCTCTGGCCTGGCCCTACTCTGTCAACTCCCCAGGATCCCAGGGTCTCCATGGAGACCAGCTGAGAGCCTCATAGGCAGGGTGCGCAGCTGGGCAGACAAGATGGGGCCAGAGGCGGGCAGGATCTTGGGGTGGTGACAGCATGGAGTTGAGGCCACAGTAAAGCCATGATCCACTCCCTGCACACCCCTGCCTGCAGAATCTGCACCCATCACAGGGGTGTGCAGGCAGTGGATCATGGTTCTGCCCCAGCCCTGGCTCCAGCACTGCACTAGCAGCACCCCAAGATCCTGACATCTCCCCAGCCCTGCCCTCCCATCCCACTCCCTGCCTGCCCACGACCCCATTCCAGCCACCTGGCTGACTGCCCTGCCCACACAAGTCTTATCCCTGGCAGTGAGTGTGGGGCAGACGGGACAGGGTGCCCGGGCAGCACAGTTGTGTCTGGCAGCTGTGGCAGCCAGAAGGAGCTGCCACCACTGGAGCTGCTGGGAAATGAAGTCCAGCCGCCACACCACCCCAGCCCAGCTGCACACCTGGGGGTGGCAGGACCGGCCATACATGATCTGCTCCCTGCAGAACAGGTGCCCATCGCAGAGGTGTGCGGGCAGTGGATTGTGGCTCTGCCCCAGGCCCTGCACTGTTACTGCCCCACGATACTGGCGTGCCTGGGCCAGGCAGGAAGAAGGGACCTACCGCAGGCCAGACAAAATCCCTCAGCGATCTGAATCCAGCCCGCAGGCCATATTTTGCCCACCCCTGCTCTAAACTATATGAAAGGATCATCGTATCCTTTGGCTAACCACATTCATTTTCTGTATAAGGACCAACATCTTCAGTAACATTAATTTCTTTAGATATTATCAAGGATAGTAGTAGGGAGTAAAACAACGTATACGCATAAAGTATATTACATAAAGTATTACATATTTTTACTTTATTATTTACTTTCTAATTACAAGTTTTACTTTATTACATAAAGTAAAAAAAATGTACAGAATCCCAACTGCCTTTTCCTCTAGACCAATACGGCTACAACCTGGACACCTGCCACATACAAGATACCGAATTTTAGCCAATTTTTTTAACAAATTTTTCATATTTTCCCAAGCAGGAAGAAACTGTGACCACCTGAAACCTGAGATCCTGCTCCTGCCTTTGTTTCAAGGTAATCTGCATCATCATCACAGATTCTCACAGGAGGTGAGAGGCTTCATACCAGCTATGACCTGACTGCCCAGAGGAGTTTTCCATCAATTGACTCCTCTGTGAAATCTTATGAAATATGAACTTTCATTTCTACCCAGGAGAACTTTTACAGTCTTTTCTCCAATGCCTGATGAAGAGCGTTTGTGCCCAAAAGCTTGCAATTAAAGAAACTTTTTTGCAAAAAACTTGTTGGTCTAATAAAAGATATCTCTATTACAAGTCCTGATTGCCATATACATAAAGTAACTAAATGCACAGATACAGGAAAAAATAGCTACTGAAAAATGTGCGAGAGAATTACTATCCATGCACATCACGTCCTAACTAATTAACATATTGTCCATCACTGAAATCTTAATTTAGGTATAACCCCTGTTTGCAAACTCCCGTAAGTGTGTAAGGAATTGCTCTATTATTTTTGTAAGTCCTGTCTGAAAAATCTCTTCTCCATTTACATAAATGTCCCTCCCCTTATTAAATCTTATTTTAATAACTTCATTTGATGATGGGGTGGAAAGTAACCTGTTTAAATTCGCTG